CTGAGATGAAATATACGATGCTTATATCAAAATACACAGTATTTACATTTATCAAGATGTAATTATATATATGAGAAATAAAATTTTGTACTCAGAATTGCAAATATGATGTGATTCGTGTACTTTGCACTCTATCGATATTCTAACTGATCTATTTACTGTGTGAGGGTAATGACATCATTATTCATTGACCCACACCTACGCAAACATTGTATCCTAGCGAAAGAAAACATGTACTAGGGGATACAAATCATGATATGCCAGGCAATACGCACGTAGCAGCCTTCCTTGCAGCATTTGAATAAGACGACAATTATTTATCTATGTTATAGAATGCAAAGGGTGATAGTTTAGGAGTCGGCCATCGGAAATCATGGGGGTGGCTGGAAAATTTGTTCAAAAAATAAGGTAGACACTAAAACATTCATCAAGGTGTTGCAGAAACAAATGTTGGCAAATTCAGGAAATAAACTATGTACAGACAAGACACCGGGAAAACAAATGCACTCCATACTCTCTACCAGCCACCCTCCATGATTCAAATGTTTGACTTCATACGTGACCATATGATGGGTGAATAATTACATTTACAGAGGTCACAGGTCACATACTTCATAATAATGAACAACAGTGACTATGTCACGTGACCATCTGTAACATCAATTGTTATTTAGTGTTTGGCATTTACATGTTATCTAGTGTATACAAGTTATTTAACTTCCTGTGTTTTAACTAATTTGAGAAACTGATATATCAACAGAATATGCAAAAAGGGAATATGCAAATTACCTAATTAGTATGCACAGATTTGTACCTAACTCCAATCAGGTATGGAGTTCATCACAATCAATTTACATGCCAGTGTTTTTTGTGATATTGGTGATACAATATTTAACACATTTATCCATACAGACATCATCAGTATAACATTCCCCTTCCTTTGTGCTGTTTATACATGAGCTAACAATGGCCACATGTCCCATATTGGTGGTGGTGGGTGGAAGCCATATTACAACTTTGTGCAAAGTTTTCATGAAATCACTTCAAACATTTCTGAGAAATGGTTCCTGATGAACAGAGGCCAATCCAAAAGTCCATAGTTTTTAAAAAAAAAACTGCAATGATCAATATTTGAGGATTACAATTTTATTTGTATGGCAGTCTTCACAGTATACACAGTCGTTGTTTTACAGTATTCAACTGAAGACACATTGCTCTATCAATAAAGACTAGCAATATTTTTTCTATTAGAAGTGCATCTCCAATTCAAATACATAAATCAAAAATCGCATTCAGTGTATGCAGAATCATTTAATTATTATTTTGTCCATAGAAATACCTTTGTAATATAAATGAGCACATGCGTTACTAATAGAGCAAATACAGCAGCTGAAATGAATAACTCTAATACTCAATTCAATAAATTTGAGTATATGCAAATGTTTCCTAATACTGTAAATCCAACAATTATTCACTGGGTCTTCATTTTGATATTTTGCTGATAAATAATAGTTAAGGTAAATCTGAAAGAAAATGTTACAATAGAACTCATTGTTTCTCTATCAAACTCTTGAACTTCAAACCCACGAAAAAAGATCAAACAACAAAATAGTGAAATTAAACTACAGTGAAAATAAATGGTTTTACAGTAGTACCCAGTCCCATAGAGCCTTTGAGAACTTTGAATATGATCACTGTTTTCACTTTGTTCACTGTTTCTATCCCAGCTATCAGTAATTCAGTACACGTGTTAACACAACAGTTGAGGGTCATATTTTTATTTCAGTATCAACAACAAACCAATGTAAGAGAGGTTGTAACAGTTCATTGAGTACACACTCAAAATTAAAAAATATATAAATTTGTGAAAAGCTATATAAAAAAAAATAGCACAAAAAACACTGGAAAAAAGCATACTTTTTTCACATACAGTCAAACTATATCTGGATGGTATTTATATACCTGTTTCCATTTAAATGAATTTCACTGCAGCAAATTGCTCTGCTAGTTTTATATTTCAATACAATATATGCCTGTGATGTTTCTGAAGGAAATACTCGTGTAAATGAATTTAGGCAAAGTACAAACGACCCAACAGTTTAAATAGCTCTGCTGACTTAGTAATCAAGAACTCACAAAATAACAGAGAACCCGATATTAAGTTAATAAAAGCTACATGATGATTTTAATGCACATTTTGTAATATCATGCGAGTAAAACTTAACTTTTAAATCACAATAGCGTGTAATGGCTATAGTGGCTGGGAACAGACTACCTAAATTTCCTCACCAATATCCAAGTGGAAAAGTAACCATATCTATAAGACTATTGCTAGGAACCATGGTTATGCATATTAATTAAGTCACATGATCACAATAATAAATTTGATGTACCCAAGTACCTACATACCAGGTATACAAATATAGCTCAGCTTGGTCATCTCCAATGACAGCACAGATAATGAAAGTTAGTTAAGCCATAGACAAGATCTACTATACTCTACATGTTTATGGTTGAATAAATTATGCAATCCATTGTAGTTATAAGGAAAATGTAGGACAGTCAGAGTTTTGTCATACACAGTCATGTAGAGCCTCAACACATGCGTTTATCTGGCCAGACACATTAATAGTATTAGTAATCAGCACTATATAAGATATGTTATTATTCAAATACATGCTGTTAATCATAAATTGAACAATTGATATTAAATTATTTGACATTACTGAAAAAAAATATATAAATATAAAACATGCCTTTGTAAATGTTCAAAACAAAGTACAAGTATGAACATAAATGATGACCCACTAGAACTAATCAAAAGTGATTATAATGTACAAATGTCTTATTTTGGTATGCTATGACATCACATCATTGCTTCAAGAAGACATTTACTGAGTTTTAATGGTTCTGAACATTCATAATGTCACAATGCTAAATGCAATGAAGAATAAACATGCTAAACTTTTTGCGAGAAGTGAATTTGGGAATAAAACTATCAAAACCGAGTATTACTAATGAAGACCAAACATTAAACACATCATTGAGGCATCAGTACATGTGAATGCATATACATGTTCCAGGGCTGCATATCATTCTATACTCATTAAAGGTCAAACATCGTTTTGGTATAATTAGGAGCGCATCTCCAATAGAAGCTTAAATAAACCAAATATCGCTATTGTTGTATACTGAATCATCAAATCTATGAATATAACATCTATATAATTTACATTAGTGCATGCACTACTATCAGAACAAGTACATAAAAAAATCTGCAGCACCCTACATGTACTGGTACTATCACAGGGCAGTAACAATAGTGCACACAGTAACTGATAAATACATATGTGAATGGAACACTTAACAATAACAATGCTATCAAAGTGTATCTATAGAGCTAATTTATCATGCACCTATGGATAGCCAAAAAACAATTACATCTGACAGTGTAAACCTTCAAATACTCCACTGCCATGGACGGATATTTTCATGAGAAAAATTCAACTACGTTATACTCTCATCACCATGACATTGATATTGAACTCCTATGCCAATATATGTGTGAAATATACAACAGAACTTTCAATTGGGTTATCCCAAATCTTACAATAATATTTTGTTAATTCCTGTGAGATTGATGTCAATATTAAAACTATTGACAACTCAATATTTACAGCAGTATTAACAATTCTTATATAAATTGCACATTATTTATCCACATCTACGTCAAATGACCATCTTAAAAATGTTCATCAGCAAACGCTTTGGCTTGGAATATTCTGGATCTCCTGGAGAGAGAAAGAAGTTTGTATTATTTACCGGTATACTGGATACAGTGAATTTACAAATTTGTAGGTACATAGCAGTTAAAATGAAATGTCAAATATATTTAACTTACACACTGCATCTACCACTAGAAGTGCCTGGTCTTGAACTGACATCGCTATCATTACCAAGTCTACTTGGTGCCTCTAATGGCAATGTATCTACCGTGGTTCGAAGATTCTCAAACCTAACAAGACACAAGTTGTAATAAGTTACATACTTAAAAAGTATAAACAAAATAAAAGTTATAATAGAGTAAAATAATGTCTGTTCAGTGAGACTGATAATCTAGGATTTATTCTTAGTGTTTTACAATATTATGATCTTGCTTATTTAGTGGTCTTGTGACTTAAATCTTACTTTCACCACAAGTTAGATGAAGTATACATGCAAGTTTGATGGAGTTCAAGTTCATGTATTGTAATTTGAATGCACAATCTAATCTAGAAAACACACTACACAGCGGGTAATTGTGATCTCTGAAGATTGTCAGCTTACATGAATCCATGTAGAAATCATTATGTATGCAAATATATTGCAAAATGGAATATACAGTAGTAACACTATTAGGTAATTTCATAATCTATTATACTCAAGAATTGCAAAATTCACATTATTCTGTGCTGTATTTCAAACACAAGTATGTTATGATGAAGTTATGAATGATACACTTGGTTATTTGATAGCAGATATAAGACATCTTTGTGAAAAATTAGCATATTTAAGGTAAATAATCGCCTTGATTCGCTAGGCAATTATCTCTCACCAAATATGCTAATTATTTTCAGAGAGGTATTGTATCTACTGCAAAGTAACCTCACTTGCCATTGTTACTCTCTGAATAAAACACAACATATATTACAATTAGTAAATCAAGATGTCTGCATTGCATCTAAGGTTCTTGTTATTGAGTCAGTGGGAAAACTAAGATGCCAATAAATAAACTACTTTCCAATACCAAGTTTACTTCCTACCTTGATGCAAGGGAAGATTCAAATGACACAATATCTTGTTCCACAGATCTGATTTGGTTTTCAACTTGCCTACTGCTGACAGCTGTGTACAGAGTGAAAAGTAATTAGGTAGAAACCAATCCCAGGTTGGTCTTAATTTTCAATGACAGATTTTTATATTACAGATGCTGTAGTCTCTGTAACCAATATTCAAATTAGATTTGCCAGTTATGTAATACCACATGATGTGGCTGCATTTCTGGTAAAGACATAAAATTCAGATCTATGTTTCAACTGATCAATACAGAAGAATCAGATTAAATCATTTACCTTATGATAAAAATGTTTTGATTAGTGCTACAGCATGTCAGAAAAAAATGAAGACTTTAATACCTGAGGTTGCTGACATTGGTCTCATCACTGGGGCAGATCTTTGTGTTATCCTCCTCATAGGCACACCATCCAGGATTTCCAATTTTGGCAGCAAAGTACGTAGTTCATGGATATAGCTAAATAGTTAGTATACATGTATGTGTATCATTATTCCTTATCAAAGGATACAGGTGTTGTTCTGAATTTGAAATATCACTATAGTCTATTACATCAATAGTCATATTAACATTAGTTTGAATACAGGACTACGGTAGTAATCATATATCAGACTAGCAATCAATGAAAAAAAGCCTAAAATATGAATAATATTTACTCTATTAGTATCGCATGTGCTTACATAAAATGACAAATGAATGGTTATGGTCAAAACAGATCAAATTTTCATGTTCCATTATACAGTACATGCATTTCTACAGGTGATTCTATTGTCACTTCTAGATTACTACTGTAACAGTAGTATGCATTTTGTATTTTTGGATAAATGTATGCGCCATCCAAGCCATGATTTTATTGCAGATGATGTTAATATTGATAGATCTGATTTGTCAATGTTTTGTGAGTAGTATCGTGTGTTAAAGAGATGCAATTAATCAATTATTATTGCAGTGTTCATGTCCTCTTTAATAGTGAGATAAATCATAAACAACTACCTCTGTTTTTCACCACCCTCTGCAGCGAATGGATTGCCTGAGATAAATAACTCTACAAGATTGCTTATTTTGCATAGTCCACACTGTACGAGAAAATAAGATAACATTATGATCAGCTTTCATGGTGAATTTGAACTAAATTGGTCAAACAGCATAAAAAAAATGGTACCTGGAACAAAATAATAATAACCACAAGTCATGAAACAAAATGCATGCATGTCTGAGAAATAGCCAAAGACATGCTGATATTGAGTATTTTTCATTTTTCTTGAGACAAAAACAGTCGCCTGTAAGCCAATTTAATCAAATTGAATCCATGAATAATTGATGTGCATACCGGTATGCCTCAATTTGAACAATAGCTGTCAAACCATGTCTGAGAAATGTCAGGATCAAACATAAGTCCCTGTTTATGGACTATGTCCGAATAGTGAGTGAATACATGAATTCCTTGTTGTTTTTATTGAATCCTGCAATGATGGAAACGACGATGGAAATGATGATGGCACTTACCACTACCTTCCATTGTTTAATTCTATTATCACTAACATGCAGCACTTGTAGTGAAGGAAATAATGGCACCAAAGTTTCTAATTGTTCAAGTCTATTATTGCAAATGTTCAAATCTTCTAATGATCTATGGTGAAGAAAAACATAAGATAGGTTAGGCTGATGCAAACAACAGTACATTTGATTGAGTGCTTTGAAAAATTCAGTTTGAAGATGACTGATGCAGTGTCTGGCCATTGTTACCATAGCATGGGTTCTCTCATTTATTATTCTTAAATGCATATGGAGAAACAGAATCTGGAAATCCAGACAAGTATGGAAAAAAAATTCCTGGAAATCCAGGCAGTTAAGGCTACTAAAATAAAATATGGCCTAGTTTATCTCGCCACATACCGGTTGATGAGGTTGGATTTCCAACAGTATGACTAAAAAAACTTGGAATTCTGACTGTATATGGTAAAAAAATTGGGCCAGTATGAAATAGTTATTACTGAAATTAGATAAGGATGGTGGCATGAATGAGCTCATCAACACCGTGAATCAGGACTACTTTGAATTTCCATTATCAAATATAAAATTTTGAACTTGGTAAATTAGCATATGATGAGTTATATTTGGAAATCCTACTCTGTATGGTGGCACAATGGAACTCATCAACACCATAAGTAGGAACTAATAGTTTTGGATTTCCATTACTGTATGGTGAATGGTGATTTGGAAATAAAACTTTGTATGACTTTATACACCCATGGAAATTATACCCTGTATGAAGTAAACACACAAGCTCATCAACAGGGGTGGGGGGTGCAGATATAAACTGGAATGGTCCAATTGTATGTAACTGTATAGGTGACTTGAGACACAGGAAAAAATATTTGATTTCTTTTATATTTTCATTTATTTTGTTTATAAAATATGAATTTCATTTTACCAAATTACAAATTCCATTACTATACTACTAGTATTCTGTTTTACAAGATCACTACATCAATCTACAATTTCCAAAGCGTTAAACGATACATACAATTCAGTGACAAATTAAATTTACAGTAAAAAAAAAAAAACTTTTCAGAAATCAATAAAGCATGTCCTAATGAGTAGATCTGTCAGGTAGTTTTCAAGGATTTTTGCTTAACTGAGAAGGACAATCAGTAAAATAAAATATCTCCATTTGGTCACATTTGAGAATGCATATCAAATACAGAAATTGGTTTTATATCCCCAGTTCATCTGACATTTACACACTAATTGTAAAAATTAACAGTACCTTATAAAAAGGTAATAATCTCATATGATGTTTCACTAACTATTTATATGACTTTTAAATAGGAACACTGATGCGAATGATCAGTCACAATGTAATCATCCTGTAAGTCAGTGAGGTAATGTACTTCCTTCTTCCAGCACCAGATTACACACCTTGCAAATGACTTTCACTGATTGAAGTAGATTGAAAGCCCCTCCCCCTTCCTGCAATGAAATCAGTCATTGCTGTGTTGTTTTTTTCACTCATGACAATAAGTTCCACACCCAACAACTGCCTAAGCAACGCCATAGAGTTATAATTATAACTACTTTAATATGTACTTACTTGAAGTTTACCGACTGCCTTCAATCGATCATTCGTAAGACTATTATTGGCAACATTTAGGTTCTACGAAAGATAAAAATCATAAAATGTGAGTATGATATAGACAAAACAATTTCATCAACACAAAACACAAACTGGCATTCACAGGTATTGTATCTTGATTCTATATTATATCTTTAAAAAAAAATCAACTTATCTTTGACTGTTTGTTGAACAATGCATACATACAACTTACCATAAGATTAGGTAACCCTTTCAGTCCTGATATGTCAGTCAATCTATTATTAGAAACATCAAGATCTTGAAGCTGCAGATCAGAAAATAACATCAGAAATACAGTTTCACCAAAAAAAACACATTTTGCCTCTAGGGGGCCAAAGTGGGATATAAGAAATGTTTACCTTTCTACATCTACTAAGATCACATATATTTTGTATTCTGTCTCTAGAGGGCACTATTTCAAAGTAGGATATAAAGAAATGTTTACCTTTCTGCATCTACTAAGGTCAGATATACTTTGTATTCTGTTACCCGATGCATAAAGCTCTATAAGATTTTGCAGACAATTAAAACTCTGAAAAACAGAAATACATAAATAGGAAATGAATATTATTTTATGCACACATAAAACTGAGAACACAAAATAAGACACAGGAGCCAATCCATTAGTTCTAACTTTAATATCTTGTGAATGAAACACAACCAGTGGATTTAATTATCTCATTGAGTCTGCAGCATACCAAAAAGGCTCAACGCCAACCTGAGTGTGCGTTGACCCTTTTCAGTATTCAACTTCAGGTATGTTTTGAACTTGGGTCTACCGATTATGAGTCCAATACCACAACATAGTTCAAAGTTTGAACATGATTGTCAAAGCATGTCTGAGATAAACAGCATTAAAACATAGACTGGCACAGTCGCGGCAATTAATTTGTTTTTGTAGTGTAAATAAAATAAAAAAAATTGCGAAATGGAGGTGTTAGCGCGAAATCACCTCAACTGGTTTATTCTGCAGGAAATTCATTGCTATTAAATATTCACGATGCATATATTATGAGGTGGGCGCAGAAATACGTGCATAATGAGGTCAACATGGTAAAGGTCACACATTGCAGACTCAACATGGCGGCACGTTGAAATTCGAGTTTGTCGCAGTCGTCGTAAAAGTAACTCGTACTAGTCGTAGAAATTAAAGAAAATAGGCTGCTACAATCAAAAATCGACGGGTTCCTGCAGTGTCGATAGAGGGCCATGCAGAATAAACCAGTCGGGATGATTTTGCAGTTACAGTGAATTTCGCGCCTCCATTTCGCGATTTTTTTAATTTTATTTAAACTACAAAAATAAATGAATCGCCCCGACTGCGCCAGTCTATATTAAACACAATCTGAAAAACAAAATGACATGCATCAAGGGTTCATAATGTTCAAACAAAATCAATCAATCCATCCATGATGGAATGACTGAAATGTTTCATTTTGATGAATTTTTAGCACACACTTTTGTGGCCATTTTTGAATTGGGATGTATTTGCGAAGTTTGAATGTGATCAGTCAAGGCATTTTCGAGAAAGCATGCAGGAACACATGCACCAACATAAATCCACCAGCCCCCAGTGCTAGAAAAAAAAATAAATAAAAAAAAAACCTGAGCGTTGAATAATGTGTCATGTATCATAGTGAGTTGTTCTGTGATATACTTACTACTAAGTTATCAATTCGATTATTGCTAATATCTAGATATGTTAAATGGCCACATGATGTGATTTCCCGAGATTCTATCCTAGATATCTGATTATTATCCAATCTCATCATCTTCAGGTTCCGAAGACATGACAAGCCTTTTCCTGTAAAACAAGAAGACACAACAAAGTGATTTACAACAGCCACACCAGTCACATTCACCTGAAACTCAGATCAAAACAAATACATATTTGGAAAAATAAATAGAAAATATACTGTAAATTTGTTTTGAAATTTAAGGTAATGAAAGAAAAAATATTTCACTGTGAAATACTTCAGCAGTTGCTAAATGATATGAACACTAACTCATCCCAATGAGGAGTAGTAATTGATACAGAAATAAAAATAAAAAATAAAATGGTATGGCATGTGAAAAACCCCTCTGTAAAGTTTGAAGACTAAATCTTTCTCCATGTACTTGTATTTGACAACAACTATTCATTATTTGGAAAACAACTAATCAATATCTGGACAGCAACTATTCATTATTTGACAGCAACTTTTCATTATTTGGCAGCAACTATTCACTATCTGGACAGCAACTATTCATTATTTGGACAGCAACCATTCACTATCTGGACAGCAACTATTCATTATTTGGACAGCAACCATTCACTATCTGGACAGCATCTATTCATTATTTGGACAACAACCATTCACTATCTGGACAGCAACTATTCATTATTTGGACAGCAACCATTCACTATCTGGACAGCAACTATTCATTATTTAGACAGCAACTATTCATTATTTGGACAGCAACCATTCACTATCTGGACAGCAACTATTCTATTTGGACAGCAACCATTCACTATCTGGACAGCAAATATTCATTATTTGAACAGCAACCATTCACTATCTGGACAGCAACTATTCATTATTTGGACAGCAACCATTCACTATCTGGACAGCAACTATTCATTATTTGGACAGCAACCATTCACTATCTGGACAGCAACTACTCATTATCTGGACAGCAACCATTCACTATCTGGACAGCAACTATTCACTATCTGGACAGCAACTACTCATTATTTGGACAGCAACCATTCTCTATCTGGACAGCAATTATTCATTATTTTGACAGCAACTATTCACTACTAGTATCTGGACAGCAACTATTCATTATTTGGACAGCAACCATTCACTATCTGGACAGCAATTACTCATTATTTGGACAGCAACCATTCACTATCTGGACAGCAACTACTCATTATTTGGACAGCAACCATTCACTATCTCGACAGCAATTATTCATTATTTGGACAGCAACCATTCACTATCTGGACAGCAACTATTCATTATTTGGACAGCAACCATTCACTATCTGGACAGCAACTACTCATTATTTGGACAGCAACCATTCATTGTTAGACAACAACTATTCAATTTTTGACAGCAGCTATTCAATTTTTGGCAAAAACTATTCAACTTTAGACAGCAACTATTCATTATTTGACAGCAACCATTCACTATTTGGACAGCAACTACTCATTATTTGGACAGCAACCATTCACTATCTGGAAAGCAATTATTCATTATTTGGACAGCAACCATTCACTATCTGGACAGCAACTATTCATTATTTGGACAGCAACCATTCACTATCTGGACAGCAACTATTCATTATTTGACAGCAACCATTCACTTATCTGGACAGCAACTATTCATTATTTGAACAGCAACCATTTACTATCTGGACAGCAACTATTCATTATTTGAACAGCAACCATTTACTATCTGGACAGCAACTACTCATTATTTGGACAGCAACCATTCTCTATCTGGACAGCAATTATTCATTATTTGGACAGCAACTATTCATTATTTGGACAGCAACCATTCACTATCTGGACAGCAACTATTCATTATTTGGACAGCAACCATTCACTATCTGGACAGCAACTATTTATTATTTGGACAGCAACCATTCACTATTTGGACAGCAACTATTCATTATTTAGACAGCAACTATTCATTATTTAGACAGCAACTATTCATTATTTAGACAGCAACTATTCATTATTTGGACAGCAACCATTCACTATTTGGACAGCAACTACTCATTTGGACAGCAACCATTCACTATTTGGACAGCAACTACTCATTATTTGGACAGCAACCATTCATTATTTGGACAGCAACCATTCACTATCTGGAAAGCAATTATTCATTATTTGGACAGCAACCATTCACTATCTTGACAGCAACTATTCATTATTTGGACAGCAACCATTCACTATCTGGACAGCAACTATTCATTATTTAGACAGCAACTATTCATTATTTGGACAGCAACCATTCACTATTTGGACAGCAACTACTCATTATTTGGACAGCAACCATTCACTATCTGGACAGCAATTATTTGGACAACAACTATTCACTATCTGGACAGCAAC